GAGAACGGGGCTCGGTGGCGCAGCCGCTGCTCCCTCGGCCCGGCTCGGCTGTTGGGAGCTGGGCTGGGCTTGGCTGTGCTGAGCTGGGCTGCGCTGGGTCGGTGTCGGCGGCGCCTTAGCCGAGACCACCACCCAGCGGTGCGCGCTGGGACTGCGCCCGCCGCCGCCCGCTGCCCGCGCTGCCGCTCGTCCCGGCCCACGGACACGCGCGCACACGCTCGGGGCCGCCGCTCGTCCGCAGATGCAGCCGGGCCGAGATGCGCGCACATCAAACCGGGAATGAATGTGTCAATAAGGGTCAGGCTCATAGGGATGAGCCCTGTGCGGTCACCGCTTGAGTACGATAAGACAGGGATGATTGGAATGTCCCCCGTGTGTGTCTCTGCACACCTCTGCCCTCAGCCCGCCGGGAGCCGTGAGCGCACGGTTCCCGACAGGCGAGTCCCTGCCTTTCCAGAAATGTAGCAGTAAACGCGGCACAAGGCTTTTCCCAGCTCAGCGTGAGGCAGAGACTGATCCCAGAGGGACACTGCTTCCTTCCCTGAACAAAGAAACCGGCCCGGAGCACTGGCAGCGCAGCAGCAACAGCAGGGACATGGCACTGAACGCTCTCTGGGCTGCATCCCAAAACTCAAGACATGTTCCAACTAAACATTATCTCACTCAAAGGACACACTGACAAAAAAAAACTCCCAGACTTTTCAAGAACCTTGACAGACTTTTCCAGAACGAATGATTCTACCAAGATTTCTGGCACCACTCTAGGAATTAGGGTGCTCTCTTTATTTCAATCTTACACATTACTGCAGTTTTTACACTCGGGGATATCCTGGTTTACAATATTACAGTCTATAACTTCAGCACAACACAGCGTGAGGCTTTCAGAATTTTCTGTGCATCACAGACGCCATTCAAGCAGTCAGTTATGATAGATGGGGTGTCAGTTCTTCTTTCAGGGAACAGGCAAGTAAATGCTCAAACACGGTTCAGTGAGTTAAAGTAGAAATGACAACAAGGAGAATGCAAATGTTCTCACACAAACCCAGAAAGTCATGCAGGGACAGCTTTCCACTCCCATCAAGAAGCCTCCCGATTAAGGATCAACACTGAGGACATCAAAGTCCATGTCCTTTTCACAACTTCATTCTGGCTGTGCTTTCAGAAAATGCTCTTTGAAGGACATGTGGAGTTTTCATGCAAGTCACGCAAGACAATGAATATTCTTTCACAATTCTGGACAGTTACAGTCTACCCCAACACCGCTTGTGCTGCTGTATTCCAAGGCAGTCCCAAGGTGACAGAACACCCAGCCCACTCTTTTTGGTCAAAGGAAGTGCATTTGTGTGTTTTGCTTCCCTACCACAAAGAAGATGAGATTGCTGTACTCCAAGGGGCAAAACACCTTTCTCATCTGCTTGGCTGGAATTGCCTGGGTTGCAATGGCTGAATGGGAGCAATTGCCTCATTCACCTGGCAGCACTAGCTACGAATCGACAGATGTGGTGACAAGAAAGCAAAGGACACAGGGCCCAAACATCTCAGCCAAACATACCTGGAACCCAGGAAAGGAAGAGCCCCATATTCACATGTCCTTGTGACACTGCACTGACAACTGCCTACTTTTCCTGAGCAGAGAAAACGTCATTGTGAATTTCAGCAAGGATGAGGTCTGTCTGTCCCGTTTTCTGTTCCACACTGTTACAGAACACAATTAAGGGTGCACGGTCTTGTCTGACAGCAGGAGAGAGAAGAGCTCAGCTGGGAGAGCTAACTGCATTCCTAAAGTCTCTAAGGAACAACCTTAACAGACGTGAAATATGAATGTCTGAGTGAAAGAGCTTTGGTTCCCTTTCTTCTATTTACTTATTTGTTTTTAGGAGAACATAGGCATTATCTAAATAAAAACTCTGGGGAATTTTTTTATACCAATTGCAAGTAGAGATTTATTCTGGAAGAACCATTCCACCAGGTTGCATCCCTTCCTAGCACGAGGCATGAAGCCTCTGGCTATGCTGACCCCGTGCTAGTTAAAGGAAAGACGATTGAACTGTTCTGCAGACACAGGCCCAGCACTGTCTGGGGTCACGTCCTCTGTGGGGACAGGGACACAAGGGAAAACCTGTTCCTCACTGGTGTCCACACCCACGGCACAGGGCTGTGGTGGCAGGCTGGGGACGAAGGGCTTGAGGAACCTGAACTCGCTGTTGCCCGAGCCCGTGGTGAGGCTGATCTCGTAGCAGTAGGGGCGGGGCAGGGTCCCCG